TTACGATCCGTTGCGAGAAGATAGGGCCGGAAAGACATTTTAGTCTCCAGGACTGTGATACAGGGCTGAGATCTCCAAATGCTTTCGGGAAGGAGAATAAGGACCAGATGAATCATGGCTGAACTCTGGTAGCGTTCCAGTCTGCGATTGGATGTTTTTCATTGTGAGCAACAACATCGAGAAGAGTGCAAGAATTCGGGTCACGTGGAATCTTTTGACTTGTTGTTGTTGGGAGTGGAAATGCATATATGATTGAGGCGGACGCTCTTGCCCGGCCAGCCTGGCCCCAAGGGACTTTTAAAGAATCAAAGTTCATCTCGGAATTCGAGCATTCTGCAGCATCTTTTCTCATTCTATACGCTGGAGACAAGCATCACCATGGCGTCTATCGAGACTGAAGCAAAGACCGAGAGCAGGAAGCTCGTTCTCTGCTTCGATGGCACAGGCAACTCGTTCAGTGGCTCCGGCTCTGACACCAATGTCGTGAAGCTCTTGCGTATGCTCGATCGCAATGACAAGCACCAGTACCACTACTACCAGAGTAAGTAGATTCAACGCTGAAGACTTCTTTGGGTATAGTAATCTCTTACACACTATTGACAATAGCCGGTATCGGAACATACGACGTTGACGACACAAGTGTCAACAAGAACTGGGTCAGCGAGGTCCGCAGCAATATCTCTCAGAAGATCGACATGGGCTTTGGGACCACGTTCGATTCCCACGTCATTGCTGGATATCGGTTCCTCATGCGCTACTATGAGACTGTAGGTTTGATACGATGTGTACTCAACGACTCCTGGTGCTGACGATTATCCCAAGGGTGACAGAATCTACATCTTTGGATTCAGTCGTGGGGCCTTCACCGCCAGATTCCTGTGTCGCATGGTCAACACCGTTGGTCTTCTCTGCAAGGGTAACGAAGAGATGGTACCCTTTGCATACAAACTCTACCAAGACCATCTAGCAAAGGTCAAGAAGAGCGGCAAAGAAGAAAAGGCCACCGTGATCAATCCGACTGATGCCCGAGAGACCAACGGCCAAACAACCAAGAACACGAAAGCCCCCACCGTCAGTACCTACGAAACGCCTGCGAGTCCACCAGATACGCCCGTTGATGAGGCCTTCCCCATCGGAATCAGCAGCTCCAATGACGCAATCAAGAAGCCCAAGGGCTGGAGAAGAAGAGGCAAGAGAAACGAGATGGAGGCCTTCAGCAAGACCTTTTGTCGCAAGGAAGAGGGCGACTGCGGGAAAGAAAACATCAAGGTCTTCTTTCTCGGCATGTGGGACTGCGTCAACTCCGTTGCAGTCCTCGAGAAGGTTGGCGACAAGCCGGCCTCGGTCAAGGGTACCGCAACCTATGTGCGCCATGCTGTTGCTGTGGACGAGTTCCGAGTCAAGTTCAAGCCTGCTCTTCTCGCGCAAGATATTACCAAACTTTCCAACAAGGGAAGGCACCGCCATGCTGAAGATGACATCAAAGAAGTGTGGTTCCCTGGAAATCATGGCGATGTTGGTGGGGGTTGGTCGGCAATCAAGGATGATCCGACATGGAAAGACAGAGAGCTCCAGAGGATCAGGGAGGAAAAGTTGAAAAACGGTGACTTCAGAATGGATGATATCCCTGACTACTTGAACCCCCCAACTCTTTGGAATAGGTTTTTGAGAATGCTTGGGAGGGGACGAAAGGAAGAAGAGCTCGATGATAGCGAGGATATGCAGCTGAGCGATATTCCTCTTTCTTGGATGATCCGCGAGCTTGAGCTCGCGGACGAGGAGTACAAAAAGAAGAGTGAGGAGAACGGTAAGAGAAATGAGACGGGGCTGAAGTGGCGGCCAAGACGCTTGGACAGATTCAAGCAAAGCATCTACCAGGATCAGGTGAAGCAGGAGCAGGCCCTGAAGGGATGGATCCATGACCTTCTTCGGCCTGGAAAGGGAATGGGCTACTTCAAGCCATTTATGTGGTACCTGCTTGGTAAGTGACTCTCGGATCATCCATATCTTGACTAGGTGGCTGACATGATGATTTAACCTTTGCAGAGATTTGCCCTCTTATTAAGAGATGGGAACTCGATGACAAGACCAAACAGTGGAAGCTTTGCCAGTGGCCCCTCAACAAAGGCGGTCCTCGAGATATACCCCGCAACGCCATCTTACACGAGTCTCTACACCGACGTCTCCATAATGATGAACACTACGAACCACAAAACAACCATGGCAACTTGAAGGAGGCATGTTTGAAGAAGAACCGTGATCATTACGATCCTCATCAAGATCACGAAAGGGGTTGTGCAGAGAGTTGTTTCCACAACACTTGGAAGTTCAAAGCACATGGAGATCATGCGGATCAAGTCGTGTCTCAGACAACGAATTGAAGAGAGCATCCTCTTCAAATCGGGTTGCGAATCTGTGCAATTTCTTTATTTGAGGAGTTGTTTCTACGGGGTCCATTTGTGTAGTCCTTGACTGTATTCAAATTCATATGGTTCAGTTACCTGACAAGTGCCCCGGTGATATTTACGAATGTGCCGGACCAACGATTGTTTTCATATATAGGTGCATAATTAAGCAAATATCCTCGAGGTATTGAGAGTTAACATTTCAAAGCCTAAGATGTCCTTCGTGATGACCCAAATCTTCTCCGATCTTCAAGATGGAGGGTTCCGGTTCTACTTCTGGAAACCTCTCTGGCCTTGGTAGGTTCTTGTACCTCAGAATCTGCTCTGAGATGCCATTTTCATGCTGCCACTTTAGTATTGGGTCGTGCGCCACACACTGCCTCTTGATGTTGAAATCAGGATACGGATTCTCCTGTGTTCTCATCCAATTATGGGAGATCAAGTCCAAGCTCGGGTTGCAAGTGAGAGCTTGTAAGAGGATATCTATCTGTTGAACATGTTAGGAAGGGTGAAAAGAAAATACCGTGTGCGATGCCGACTCACACAATGTGCCAGGTGTGCCTGGTGTCGTTGTGGCGCCATTGAGCTAGTGTCATCGTCAACCAACGTTCACATACGGTCGCTCGATGACCCCAGTAGACGACTTACATGTTCCTGTAATCATTACCGTAGTAGTAGTCAAAGTAAGCATACTTGCGAACTGCATTGAGGCAGTGAAGTTGATGCTGCATGTCAATTTCAACGAGATACTTGTCCGACCCGACACCCCACTCCTCTGGGATAGAGACAGATATCTCAGGATCTTTGCCCATTTTCCTGAGTGCATCACCACTTATGCCAAAGTACTCAATCCGCGCCATGTCGTCCCAAGCTTTATCGACCTCTTCACTGGGTTGCTCGCGCCAGATGCGTGGAGGTGTGTAATCATTGAACAACGTTCCTTTGACCTCGACTGTTTCTAGCTGGATGGGAATATCGTCGAGAATTGGACCTGTGCCACAAACCATTTCAGCAAGACTGAGATTGAATTTAGGTAAGACAAGATTATCCTACTGTAGGGTGACACGCGTTTCATCAGATGGACCGGGTCATTGAGCCATCTCGAAGAGACGAGGAGGACCCCGCATGATATGAGGAAGAATATCGCATTGACCGCAGTAATGACCTTTGACTGAAGGCTCCATTGTCCTCGAACTTGTCGAGGTTCATGCCATGTTGGCTAGATTTCGTCAGTGAGCTACTACCCAGTTTTCTGAGAACGCGAGTTTCCAATGATTGTAAGCTTACGGTAGGGCACAAATCGTCTGTTGAGTCTTGATCTGAGACACTTTGATAGATGTCTTTCATTTTCGACAAAGAAGTGGTTGATGCCGGAGGTAGGTTTCAGCTCGAGAATACTCCCTGGTAAGAGGCTTGGACATCCCTTTCCGACAGGATGATATCGATAGTGGATCGGAAATCTCGGGGCTCTGATCACCGACAGCGAAAAGAAGGATTCTGCCGACGATGCCGTGATCGCTTGTAATCGTCAGTTGCGATGGTATCACCTGCCAAATCCTGTCAAGCCTCAATTGCATACCTGGTTTACATCGTCGGGTGTCGACCTCACATTCCAATATGATACGGCGGTCTCGAATTAAGTAATACATAAGGATGGCTGAAGGATTCGCCAAGAATGAGGAGGATTGCCAAGAACATAACGATTAAGTACAAAATGGGATCCATTCCGCGACACTGAGGGGGCAAACCCTCGGCTTGTGAGCAAAGGGGAAGGTTAGCTCGAAACTCGGGCAAAGGAATCGGACTGATCGCTCGATTCTGTCTGGTGGATTTAAGGCGCATAAGAGTAAGCAATTGCATATCATGTCGAAGGGAGGGGTAGAGGAGCGAAAGAAGAGATAACACTCCTCTTGAACCCCGGGGACTGATCCTACAGCGGCGAGGACCGGAACCACCTAAGGTGAACAAAGGTGGCGCTAGTTCATAGACGCGCTGTTTCTACAGCGCAGGTGCTTAGTTGACTGGCGATTGATACAGGTACCAATTCCCAGTGAGCCTTGTCAACTGCCCAGTCTTTTCGGTAACTATGGGTTGTGCGGTGCTTGGCATAGTGGGATGTGTGCCTACCTTCTTCATGTGGCTAGAATATTCACCCCCTGTTCAATCGGGGTCAGCCAGTCAAGAGAAAGAGAAGTGAGTATAGCTAGGAGCGAATGGCTTCATTACTTCATGTGAGATTTACGCATGCCGTGTTTGGTATGAAAGGTGTGAATTCGAGCCGAAGGAACGGAGCGAAGGATTTTTGACTGTCACGTTGGCGGCGTGTATTCCGGATTTGTACTCTGCGGGCGTATTGTTCCTCGTGCTGCATTTCGTTAACGCAAGGGGTGCTTACGACTGTCACATCGTGAGTGGTGATCCAGACAGGCCGGAAGAAGGACTAGAGAGAGGGGTAATGTAGAATTGAAAAAGGCATATAATATTGATTCTATCTTGATTGACAGTCGTAACACCATCACTATATTACCGTGCCCAAGATCAGTCCTGTTGCTTTGAGACTTAGTATCATCGCCGTTCTTCTCGTTCTACATCAAAATGCGTGTCCAAACCCTTCTTACCACTGTCGCCGCTTGCGCTTCGTTGGCTTACGCCGCGCCGGTTGCCGTTGAGGCATACGGCCCTCCCCTCAACCCTCACATTCCGGCCGTTGAGTCCAAGAGAGAAAACACGATCGAAGCCTATGGTCCTCCCGTCAACCCTCATATCATCTCGAAGAAAAATGCCGTCGAGGCTTACGGCCCTCCTACCAACCCTCATATCATCTCAAAGAAGGACTCAGTTGTTGAAGCTTACGGCCCTCCTCTGAACCCGCATATTCCCGCCGTTGATACCAAGAGAGACGCGGTCGAAGCTTACGGTCCTCCCACGAACCCTCACATCATCTCCAAGAAGGATACTGTTGTCGATGCATACGGCCCGCCGACAAACCCGCACATTATTTCCAAAGAGTAGGGAAATCGAGAGGAAGTTTTGTACGGAGAAGCAGAAGCAAGGCAACGGCTCGTGACAGCATGGGACAAACATCTATGGATTTTGTTGGCTGTATTACGGCAAAGAGTGTGCTTGGAGACATTGAACAGACAGTCTGGAGTATCAATAAAAAATTGCGAAGCCGAAAATGGAGCTCTCAACCCAACGTCCTCAGGAAGTCAGAGTCTGGGACTTGTGAATGTAACGCCCATTTTGGCACTTATGCCTCAAGACAAAACTGTATGTACCGCAAAAGCTAACAATTTCCGAAACCGAGAATCGAACTCGGGGCTATGCCTAACCTCTCAAAGAGATGAGAGGGCATCATGTTGGCCACTACACCATATCGGATGATGATGCCTATGACTTGAAGAATTTGCACTATGAGGGTAGGGTACATTGTGGTTATGCCCTAAACGAGTTAGGTCGGTGAGATGCAGATTCTCTGTCCTTAGACACCCCACATTCAGGAGAACTGTCAGGTAGATCTGCCTGGGCTGACCCTGCTTAACTGCACAAGGGTCAACGTGCTTAAGGCCTAGCACGCTAAAAACATTGAACTCACCCTTGCTGGATCTAGAGCTAAGTACAGTGGTAAGTCGATCTCCACATTAGTCAAGAAGTCGAGGACGATTGAGCAATCGCTTCTCATTCGAATGTCACTTGAATGCGATTCGCTGATGTCGGCGTCCGTGCTATGACGACACCAAAGCTTCTCCTCAGTGCCGCGACCTGCACTTCGCAACACTACGTCTGACATTGAGCCAAAAATGAGGGTTCGCCGATGACTCTTTCAGACAGAGATCGATTTCCATCTCCCACCAACCGACGCAAGGCCCCAATTGCAGTTTTCAAATGGGTGACATGATTCCAGAGAGCACCCGGCCAGTTCGGACCATGGTAGTCGGCGACTCCATGTCTCAAGGCCGTGAAGGGGACTTTGCATGGCGATATAGGCTATGGCAGTGGCTCACAGAAGAGAAGATCAACTTTGAATTTGTTGGTCCGTATGAAGGAACAAAGACTCCGGATCAACCTCGTCCACCGCAACCACCGGCTCTGAAAGACGACCCGCTACCAGCACCTGACATGCCAATAGACCATGGCAGCTATGCTGCAGGCGTGCACTTCAACTCTCACCACTTCTCAGTTTGGGGTCGCCAAGCAACACAGTGTAAAGACCTCATCGAGGAGCAGGTGGCGCGATTCAGGCCTGACTATCTGCTTGTTATGCTTGGCTTCAACGACCTGGGCTGGGGTGTCGCGGATGCCGAAAATACTCTCGGCGCCATGAAGAAACTCGTGAATAATGCACGCGCTGCGAAATCAGATATCAACTTCGCTCTTGCTGACGTACCGATGCGGACGCCAATTGATGGGGCAGAGAAACTTCCTGCCATGGTGGAAGAGTACAACCAGCTTCTACGAACATCAGTGCCAAAGTGGTCATCCTCTGAGTCTCCGGTTGAGTTGGTGGAGGTCCGGCGTGGATACCATTGTTCCCAAGGAAGTTACGATGGATTACATCCAAATGCTTTGGGCGAATTTCAGATTGCAAGAGCCTTCTCTCGGACTTTGTCCCGAAAGTTTCGCATTGGAACCCAAGATCTCACTATTCCACAAGAGATCCCACAAAGACCGACGCCAGTGCCGGCGAATGTTGTCGCGGAAGCAGTTCCCTACGGAATTTCTGTTAAATGGAGTCCGGTATACGGCGCTATCGGCTATGATGTCAGAATTCGCAATAATGACAACCTGCCATGGAAGGAGTCGAGAACAGATGTAGCCCAGTACAACTCGACGTGGACCCAAGAAGGGCAAGAGTATCAGTACCAAGTCCGGACCTTTAATGGAGAGGACCTTAGGTCCGCCTGGTCTCATACGGTCTCAGCAACTGCTCACCCGAAAACAGCTCCGGGGCCTAGGAAGATCATCACCAAACCTGACCTGTATCAGGTCCTTGTCAAATGGGAAGAGCCTCAGGGGCACATCGAAGTGGACCGATACGAGATCATTCTCGTAGACCTCTCATTACCGGGATCTTTTCCGACTGCTATGGCGCTGAGAGAAACTGCGACAACATTCACCGACCTATCGGCAGGCCATCGGTATGGGTTGGCGATCAGTACTTGGACAAACTACGGAGGTGGTGTTCCGGCAGGAGGCCGGAGCTTCATTGCTGGCAACGGCAAGCCACCGACTCCGACTCAGCTCCAAGTTGAGGTTCAGAATTCCATCACCGTGCACCTAAAGTGGGAAGAGTCGAAGGGCGCAGCGGGATATCGCGTGTGGGTGCGGAACCTAGTCGAGAGATCGGACTTCGAAGAAGACGGAGAAACTGAATTTGCGGAATATGGTATTGCATTTCTGATGCCAGGCGCTTGGAACTTTGAGTTTTGTGTTTCTGCATACAACGGAAGCCTTGAGTCGGAGAGATCAGGCAGCATTGTTCCACTTAATAGAGGCGACATAGAATCTCGGTGAGGCGCAATGCTGCCTAGCCGAGGTGGGTTGGAAGCTGTCACTGGACGCCTGGTTTTTAGTGCTTATTTCGGTTTCAGATTTTGAGCTCTGCATATGCAGATGGCTTGAAAAGAATTGAGGCGTGTAACCGGCTAGGTCTATGACCTGACTTTGGTTTTCCGACCGATCTTCAGATCTTCTGGGTCAACTTTCTCAAAAAGCATCAACGCGAACCCAATACCTCATTGAGATGGCAGTTCAGATAGTGCCGATCTCCCTAGAGCACGCTCTTAAAAAACGCTCCGGGAGAGGTACGAAACCAGAATCGTTTGATTTCTTTCACGTGCTCGGAACAACAGGATGCTCAGTCCAGTGCGCCATTTTCGATTCATGGAGCACATTATCCCGAGCGGGCACAGCGAAACTGAGGGCAGAACATGACAACTTTACTAATCACGGGAAGAAAAAGGTTGCTCGAGGGAAGTCTTTCACGTACGGGGACTTGAATCACTCAGCCCAGAATGGCTGTGGGAGCTGCAAGGCTCTGAACACTATGTTCGATAGCGCACTTACCAAGAACTTTGGTCCAATTGCCCCCTCTACGACATTCCGCTGGACGGGAAAATTCAGTGGCACTCTAGAAATGGATGCTCCCGATGGCAAAGTGTACTATGTCAGACTTTTCAACGTGGCGGGATCCAGCAATGTCTTTCGCCGATTACAATCCACCAACGGCGTGGCTGGGGATACCTCTTCCGATCTAAGCTTGCAGAGAATTCGGACTTGGATCAATGACTGCGAACTACACAACAAATGTGGCACGGGAAGAGACATGGAATTGCCTACGAGGCTCGTTGATGTGACTCAACCCGGAGACAGACTTGGAGTCCATCTAGTAGTTACATCTGGACAAATAGGAACATACATGTGTCTGAGCCACTGCTGGGGAAAGATCAAGATCAAATGCAAAACGGAAACCGACAATCTGAAAAGGCAACTCGAGTCAATACCTTGGTCTTTGCTTCCACCCAGCTTCCAACAGGCAGTCGAGATCACGAGGAAGCTCGGGGTTCGCTATCTCTGGATTGACTCACTTTGCATCATCCAAGATGACAAGATAGATTGGGAGAAAGAGGCAGCTCAGATGGTCAACGTGTACCGCAACTCATACGCCACAATTGCCGTAAGCTGGTCTCATGATTCTGAGGGAGGCTGCTACTCAAAGACAATTCCAAGCCAGTTCTTTCAGATCACTACTGAATGTGGCGACGAATTCAGACTCGCCTTGATAACCGGTGAAAAGCGGGACGAAATGTCGGAATACGCCAGGGTACAAGAGTATTTCCCCCTTTTCAACAGGGCTTGGTGTCTTCAGGAACGTCTCCTCTCGCGGCGGATCATCCATTGCAACTATGGAGAAATGGCATTTGACTGTGCCAGCGGCTACTCATGCGAGTGCGGAGGAGAGCAACACCAGAATTGGCACAATTTGATACGGTTCTCCGGCACATATATACCGCTACGATCTCGGTCGAAGTACCTGGCACTGCTGAATAACCCTATGACAACTTCAATAACCGCCATCGCCACAAAGAGTGGGAAAATCGATCCTTATGAGAGATGGCACCGCGTTATCGGCGAGTATACCTGCCTCAATCTTACGTTCACTGGAGATATGCTTCCGGCACTTTCAGGCCTTGCTCATGAGACTGCTGAAGTGACAAATGATACCTATCTGGCCGGTATGTGGAAGAATAATCTTGAACAGGACCTCATGTGGCGCGTTGTTACTGTGGCGGATTGGAAGAAGCAACGCGCGAATATACTAAAACGAGGATGGATCGCCCCGACTTGGTCTTGGGCATCCACAGGAAGTGGCTGCAAAGTAGACTATCCTACATTTCAGAATGCCGAGTTATTGGACTACAAGACTCCCGGGATTATGGAAACAGCCCAGATAAGCTGTTCACCTTCTGGGGCTGACCTCTATGGCTCGGTGTCCTTTGGCTTCCTGACAGCGGTGATAAAGCGCCTGTCTATCATGATACAGCGACCGTGCTCACACTGGGATCGGAAGCGACGTTGGACAAATTGGATATACGGCAGGTATCTTCTTTATGCCCGGGAAGACAAGCGAGAGTTTCGGGAAGAATGTGCGCCAGTGACTGGTGAGGCACCACTTGAGTTTGGGACTGCGGAATCGGAGGTATGGGTTGACCCTTCAGTTGAGCGAATGAATTCCTGCTTCATACGCAATAGCCGACCTGAAGAATTCCCGGAATTGTGTAGGCATTGCACCTTTCTTCCTGCTGAGTTGATCTACATCAAAGGTTATGGTTTGGGCAGCAGGAATGCACGGACAAAAGGCACACGGGATTCTTTTCTTATTGTTGCCAAGGACGCGACAAGTTCTTACATCAGAGTAGGGTTATTGGAGGTTATTTGCGATGATTGGGCTGAAAGGCAGATCTGGTATCGAAACGTCTGGGCAGCTGCAAAGCCCGAGACATCGATCACAATCTACTGATCCATAAGTATTCAGACATTCATTACTTTGTTTTTGACATAATTTCGAATCACGGATGAGATCATACTGTAACTTAGAATACCAGCAATGTTACTTGTTCCATAGTGACAACCTCAATCATATTTCTTCGCAAGGGAATATGAAGTACCAGTGTGAAGGACAAACGCTTAGATAACTACACAATCTTGAAAATCTCGCGCCCTGATTTTTCGAAACAATCTTTGAGACGCCCCAGATTCGATACGCCCAGTTCCCGCGTATGTTTCCCTTTGATATATTCCCGATATCTTGTCAACCAATCTTGAATGCTGGGTTCTGGAGTTGAATGTTCGTTCGGGATGGCCGGCACTTGTGAGAATCCTTGTTCTACAAATCGGACGTAACCAAGACGTTCATACTCAATGTGTCCATCTGCGGTCGCGGCTCGTTTTGATCGGATCACCAGACAGGCCATATCAGGATGGTTGCCTGTGTTGGCACCGAAATCCGTTATGCGAATAATGCGAACGGGAATCGACCACCCGGAATTTGCGCCAATGATCGGAGCGTCCAAATGCAAGCCCCTAGTATGGCTGTCGCCTTGGCTGATCCATAAGTTCCCGACAACGAGCCAGACAGGACTGACACCATATTCAACGAGTACTCCCGGCCATTTCACTAGTGTTCCGGAGATTGCAAAAGTTGAAAGTAGAAGGTGGGCAGAGTCAAGCTCTCCGGTTGGATCGACAATACCAGCTGGAACGCAAACTGCTTCCAGAATATCTGCAACAGGAGAGTAATCTTCGCTCCCTATCTTCCCCAACGAGAACCAGCTGCCCTTGCCAGAGTTTCTGCAATCTGAGTCAGAGTCGAAGCGAATAAAGTCGTCGTTGTGGTACTCAAGAGATGCCCACGACCATGTCGGGGCCCTCCATACAATAGGACGCTTTTCAGGTTTATAGACGAGCCACAAAAGATCTAGATGCAACGAGTCCATCCATAGCCCCGCTCGATAGAGTTTCTCGTACTCGGGATTCCACACTTTTGCAATGCCGGCCAAAGCCGGGAAGATGTCCTTTGAAAACGTCAAGTTCAGAGCACAGTAAGACTGTACTGTTTGTCGCCACGTTTTGACGCTTTTGGTCCACTTGGGCGAATGGAGTAGTGCCGGGGTAAACTTGCTGTAGTCCAGATTTTCGTCTTGGCCATTTCCTGGTGCTGAGGGTGGCAGTCCTTCTGCAATCCAATTGTACTGCCCACTCAACTCGGCCAAACTACCTGAGAATTGGATCTTCTCAGGCAAAGAGGTGGAGGTTGAGATCTCACCGCACTCGCATGTCCTCGCTGAGCGACATTCCCAATTCAATTCGGAACCGGCAAAGTGTACAACTCTACCTGAGAGCAGACGTTCCTGAAACACCCACGCCCGTTTTGTGATAGGGAAGTAGGACCAGAAGCTATCAATGTGTAGCAATTCCGAATACGCGTGTAGTTTGAGATCTGAATCATCCACATCATTCATGAGTGACAGCTGGTGCGATTGATGTTTAGGATCCAAGGAAGAGGTGTAAAGCCCGCGGCTGGAGTCGACTGCTTTGGAAGCTGCGAGCGTTACGTAGGCATTCTGATAAATGTCGGGCATTTTGGCGGCCTCTCTCTGCCAGTCGAGAGGATCATCCTGAATGATGCAAAGGGAATCGATCCAGATATACTTGAGGCCAAGTCGGTGGGTAAAGTCGATTGCGTCTCTGAAAGTGGGAGGCAGATCTGACCACTGGATTTCATTGGTGAATTGAGAGAGATTCTTCTTCAGTGTTCGCAACAATGGACGCTTGCCCCAAGGGTGGCTCAGGCAGGCGTATTTGCCAGTAGCACCATTCATCTTGAGCAAACGTACTTCAGACGCCTTTCTGCCAATGCTAATAAGCCTAGTTGGCAGCTTGACCTTACCATCCTTACTACATAGCGGATGGTCTGTTGCACAGTAAAGGAGCCATTCCTTCACTATCTTTAGGGTCGATTCTGAGGCAGTATCCCGGGAGATAGACTTATACTTGGACAGATGCCAGTTGCCGAATCCCAAGGTCGGGAATGGGCGTAAACGTTCAGTCAAGTCGGTATCTGTCTCAACTTCATTAGCCACTCAGCTATCCGGGTATTGAGTTCCAATTGGGATCTGGCAACTTAATTTTGCGATAACGACTCGGTTTACCTACGTTCGGATACACAAAACCTAAGTGGATTTCCCCCATCATCACGGATAGCCTCTAGAACACGCGGGAATGACACCCATCCAAGTGATCTGCCAGCAGAAAGGTAGTCGCCATACAGCTTTGAGACTGCTTCGTCGAGAAGTGCACAGAACGGACACCCATCCTTCACTTCCAATTCCCGCAGGCCTGCATCATCGAGGCTTCTCTTACACCTTTGCAGGACTTCGCGGTCACTCTTCACCCGATCACACCACTGAAGAAGCGCACTCAGAAGGACAGGCTTAGACTCAGACTCGAACTCCATGATATTCTGATGATATTGGAATTTAGTGCGAAATTAGTCGCACGCTCGGTTTCTTCTTTGACGGGAGCTCGAGATTGTGTTCTTGATGTTGGAGCTAGTCACAAGTGAGGCAATAAATATTCAAAATTGAGGGGAGAATCACGTGCAGACTTGGCTTCTACGGCCGCCTCCTCACAGCGGGACGGTCTCTAAGTGACACGACCTCTCCACGAAAGGTTTTGTGTGGCCCAACATGCGACCAGACTAATGGGCTCAATCATTGCCTTCTATCACTTTGTGCCCTTCTCTTCCCCTTCTCTAAGCCTCGACCCTGCGCTCTCTCGGCGCTTCTCTCGTACTCAAGTGAGTAGGGGCTAGTCCTGAAGTTGTATCGCTCAGAGTCATGTCGGACAGCCTTCGCTTTACCTTTCCGGCGTGATTCGAGCTTCTAGTGCTGTTGAGTTGCTTCGAATCTGGGCTCTTGTAATAGGTCCATCATCGCCGTATTAGTGTAGAAGAAGTCTTCCAATTGAGCGGCATTCGTCATCCACATCATTGGGTTACCGGGCCTCAAGCTCTCGTCCATGGCATCGATTCCGACGCCCGCGATTCCAGACGTTGGGACCACGTCTGGCGCAGTGCTTGTCATCTGGGCAAACGCGGTGGGTTGCTGCTGCTGCGGATGCTGACCCCCTTCGGCCCCTTTTGGTGGGAATCCCAAAGCTGCTAAGTAAGCATCCATCTCGGCGCTGGCCTGCGTCTGTCGCGACTGAGGCGTTGACGCGCGGAATTCAACGAAACGAAGCGCGACGCTGTAGAGGACTTGGAAGAGGCGGCACATCTTGGCCGCTGCGTCGGACATCTTTGATGTCTCTTGCAAGAACACCACGAAAGAATGCAGTCGTGCCAGGTCTTCCTTGTCTTGGGTCTCAATTACCTGACAGAAGAGAACGATGAAGGGGATGAATGGTGCGAAAAGCACAGTCCTGGATGTAGAAAAGTTCGTGTTAGAAAGCGGTACATCATATGAGTGTTAGTTTGTCTGACCAGTGAATATAGGTTGCAAAGTAAACATCGTGGGACTTGCGCATGATGGCAACGCATTCTTGGTGCTTTTCCAGTGCTGCTCGTGCAGCCTTGATGCATTCAGGACTGAACGTCGTTGGCGATCCTTCAACTCTTGGGGCAGCCCGGTAAACTAGAGTAAGAAGTGAGAGCCGCAGAACGTAATCTGAAGACAGGTAGAACTCTGCAAAGTGCTCCTCTACTCCGTCTTTGGCAAATGCCTGATAATTGGCCTTCATTCCGTAAGTCAAGGTATCCAGGATTCAAAAATTACCTCGGACTTACAGTGGTTTCCTGCGTCTTCTGATCGATGTCGTGGAGAAGGGAGACTAGTTCATGCACCCGCGTCTGGCGAACGTGATACGGTTGGATCATCGAGTCGGGGCTGTAAAGCAGCTCATAGATTTGACCCTGACACTTCGCTGTGCGAATCCATAATACTAAATATGGTAGTATCGGACTTGCAACCGGCTCTTTCAATGATGGTAGAGGCATGGTGATGTGCCAGTCCGGAATTGTCGATGCTCTGCCCAGGCGAAGCGAAAGACTCTTGTCGATGTAATAGACGTTCCAGAAGAGGAACTGATGCCAGTGCATCCCATGAACAGTGGGCTTACCATCGTCCTTTGTGTTCTTAAGAGACTCTGCTCGATGATATCCAAGCGTTTGACATAGTTCTGATGCTTTGGAAGACAGTGTCCAAGCGAGCGTAGGTTTTGAGATTTCAACAGCATGGAAAGTCTTCAAAGGAGTTAGCCCCAATCAATCGCTCGATGACGTCGAAGACGAGACTTACTCCGAAAAGAAGCGCGACAATTACATCAGAAGATGCCGGCAGATGGAGTGGAAGATTTGCTAAACACGTTTCCAGATTCACGCGGCAAATCCTGCAAATAGTCAGTTCTGTGTCGACTTTCAGACGAAGTTTTCATCGGTTGTACTTACTTGGCGTATTCGAAGTACTCTTTCTGTTCATCAACTGATACTTGCGCGGCGTAGTCCGTGAACAGCGAATAGAGGCCTCCGTTCACAGTGATGTAATCATATTCCGAGTAGTTGTCTGAAAAGTAGACATTAAGGCAAAGATCCGGGAATCGACGGGAAGGCAGAAAATCGTATATCCAGGCCATGCCCGTGAGGCGTTGACCTAAGACAACATCGTCTGGTTAGCAGGAGAAACCGAGCGTTCACAAGTCTTTTCTACAGTGCTTACTCTTTGCGATTCTAATAGTGTGCACAGCTTTTTCTATAGGCGGTAACTCAATTCCTTGGGCACGAACCCGCGTAAATGGCTTCGCGTGAGGATATGTCATCTCCCCCGCGGCGGCCGGTTGCTTCAACGCATTGACGATTTGTGATAATGCATCTAGAGTCTCGCCAAGATCTAGACTTGAGTCCTGCAGTGACTCTGTGCTCACGACCTTTTGCAAAAATTCGGTAGCAAACACAGAATGCGCCGCAAGAGAAGAGTCGCCCTCAACAATGCCGCCTTCGCCTTCGTCTGATTGTAGGGTGTGGCTTGCGGTAGTGGCAGGTGTTGAAGTAGATGAGACGCGTTGAGCTGAGCATGGTGGGCCTTCGACTTGAGGCGTGGCGGCTGTAGCCATTGCGAAATTGAGTAGCTCGGCTCGACTTGTATTACTATTAGAAGATGGATTGACTTTCATGTCCTGCAGGAGGCGGATGACCGTCTCGAGCCGACGGTCAATCTGATCAATTTTGCGCTCACTAAGTCGAACATGTTAGTTAAGACTGCACGGCAAGCTATTTGAAGCTTTAGCCTAGTGTAAGGATAGCACATCGTGATGGGCTGCTAAAAGGCGAATACTGTGTTCGATGCTATGCATGCTTACTATTGTGGGGTGATGAGAATTCTGGTCCGTTTTTCCTTGGGCTTGTTGTCGGCATGTGTACACTCGATCTTGGCGTGCGTGCAATATGAACAAGGCGATTCTCTATTGCAGCGGATCTATATCTAGGTCAGTGTTTGCTTCGTTTAAACCCCCATTGCGCCAAGATTAGATAGTTGCGAAGCTTCGCCGTCGCTAACTCTGGGCGGCAGGGACAAGTAAATGGTGTAAATGGCTCTCAACAAGCAAACCAACTCACCTTACGAGCACGGCAAGCGTCACACTAATTATTCCAGTCAGTTCAATATAAATCTTCAAAGGCCATATGCGTCACTTACAGCCCTGCGAATAGCAATCTGAGGATTCGCTGAAGACGGCTCAGGCGCTTCTTCTGGCGCATCGTCAGGCCCATCCTCATGTCCGCTGGCGTCCAGCTGGCTGTCGTCCATATCTCTCCCTCCGCTAAGCGATAGGCCTGTGGCAAGGGTCCTTTGGGGGCTACTACTCGTCGATCTCGTAGGCGAGTCCTCGGTGTGCAAGCGGACGACGCGGGAGCCGATGAGTGTACAACAAAGATTGTGAGAACTTGAATTTGTTGTCGGCAGAGGCGAGGTCGGGTCCCGAAATATGAGAAAGCTGCTGACAATGCGCCTTCACCCAACTAGGAAGCATTTGCACATGTTTCGTTTTTTATCGTTATTTCTTTTCTCGCGCGCCGTTTCGGGGGCCGCGCGACCCGTCCAAGTCCGCGGGCTGTCGGCTGGATACAATACCCCAATGTGGTAAGTAATGGGTCCAAAGTCTATTTATACGCTGTCAATAGCCACTCTGAAGCTTTCGTCCGAGCAAACTAGTTCAGAATCTTCAGTTCTTTAGTCAGAGCTCCGCTACATAGGCTTTCGCTGCCTGGCGCGCTGTATTTCGCGGTCGATCGGGAGTAGGCGGCCATACCCTTACTGAGAAAATCCAGAATTGGACCTCGTGAGAAGGCATCACGGTCAACGGTTGAAGCATGATACTCAGCGCATGTTAATCCATTCGTGGGGCAGTTGACTCGTTGAATCGTTGAGTAGACGAGCAAAGAAAAATTGCCATGGTACCGTAAAAAGGTTTCTTGCCTCGGGGGAAACGCATTGATTGATCGTCGACCGATTGATGTTGAGCCTGCATTCGATGATTTTTTTTTGAAGCATTTAATCTTTTGAAGTAGTGGGGTTTTTCTAAAGAAATGAGCGGTGGATCTATCATACACTTATGTCGATCTCCCGACGACTCTAGTAGTCTTTATAAGTCGGCAGCGACTTGAACCCGTATTCTTCGACCGGGACATTGTTCGCCGGTGGTCCAGCGAATCTCGCGACGAAGGAAAACAGCCCTGACCAGTAGAGAACAAACATGATCGTGTTCAACAGCCAAACTCCCCAGACCGTCTCGGGATGGAGCGAGTGAGGCATGCCGGGTGCCAGCTTTTGCGCGCGAGCAACAGTAGGACGCATTTTCTCTTCATAGTCGCCAAAGGCAGTCTCGAGATTATTCGGATGTTGTAGAATCGCGCCCGCCAGATTGTACGCGCCGCTCATTGCCAAAGTTGTTCCCATACCAGATAGAGGAGAAGCGCAATACCCAGCATCACCCAGGAGAACAACCCTTCCTTTGCTCCATTTGTCCATCTTGATCTGACAAACAGTATCGTAATAGAAGTCATCCGTGGCGATCATCTCCTTGATGACGCGATCAGTTTCCCAGCCAAGTCCCTCAAAGTACTCTCGAAGGATGGCTTTTTGAGCATCCGTACTTCCGCCTTTTCGCTCAGCAACAGCCCGTAGCCGTTCATCTTTCTCATTCACAACGGCCATGAAGACCGTTGTTCTATCTTCCACACCAGATGGACGGATCATGATGCCACGTCGACCAGGAGCATGAAACCAGCGACGCCATGCCGAGTCAGTCGGACCACGAGGCATACTGAAGAAGCCCCCATACATCTCGAGCCTTCTTCTTCTGTCTTCCTCGCCAGCCTCACCCCAAGTCAGAATGCGTGTTCGACTTTGCACACCATCTGCTCCAACTACCAGGTCAAAGGTCCGTCTTTCGCCGCTCTTGGCAAAGTGGACGTGTACCTTGTCTCCATCCTGCTCTAGGTCATCAAGAGAATCGCCAAAGATGTACTCGATCCCGGCGCCGCCATCAGCCTGAATTTCGTCATTGACTTTCCGGCTCTGTTCGAGTAGCAACTGTGCCAACCGTCCTCTCAAGATCTCGATATCACTTGTTGGTGTTTGCGTCTTTCCGCTCTTATCCGCTCCAAAAGCTGCCCATACTCGATTCTCCTTGTCGACCAACTGCACTCCTTCTTCGCCAGTGGTAGCTGCCCGGATAGCTGGTTCGAGTCCAAGCTTGCGGATGATGGTCACCCCAGCGCCTCGAACGTCGATGTTCTGGCCTTGAGGGCGAAAGACAGGCGCTCTCTCCAAGATGGTGATGCGCGGCTTCTCAGACGCAGGCGCCGGCGACATCAGCAAGAATGTGGCTAGTGTTGGCCCGGCAATACTGCAGCCTACGATCAAGATGTTTATAGGTGCCATAATAAGATGATTGCTGAGAAACCGAATACTACTCCTATAATGACTGATACCAAGACTGGGGTTGCCAAGGCCTTTAAAAAGATAATGGTTGATGGCGTCTAAGATCTGTCTAAGGAACAGACGCAAAGACGTTGTGAATCTACGACGTCATTTGGCTGCTATCGAGATCCTGCCGGCATTCTTGTTCCGTGGGCTGACACTGAGCTTATTCCAGGCATTGCCTTTGTGCGGTGGCTGGCCTAAGCACTAGCTGAATGTGGAAGGGCTCGTGGGAGATTAACAACTCCAGAAACCTCGATATTCATTGATACCCTTGAATTTAGTTAATTCGCTTTTGGCATCAACTTCCTTGATGCGCTCTCGGCCTGAAACGTCTTGGTATCTTCTGTCGGCCTTCTAACTATTTGTATAGAAATAAGAAATAGAGACCCACGTAACTAGATGTGAGCTATCGCATATTAATGCATATGAATGCTATTAATCGACCCTGATCATAGTCTTCCCAATAAATGCTTGAGCAAGTATGGCTTCAGAAGCTAGCTTAGTATCATGCCACTCGAACATTTCCGCAATAATTGGTTTGATCTTGTGTGTCTTAACAAAGGCACTGAGAACCTAGAGCATAACCAGGCTGCCGTATATCAAGCCTACTAAGATAGAATGTCAGATACAGAAGCTGGGTGTTGGAAATTATCTTACTTATCTTAGCACCGAACATAAGTTCCGGAATTAGATCGTGTTTCTTAGAGGCAGACATGAAGCCAATAGCTGATACCAGGCTATCCTGTCATAGTGCACGTAACGACTCTATAATGATCGAAGCACCGATAAAGTCAAGGACTTGGTCAGCACCACGACCACCGGTCAAGTCGAGAACCTCTCGACTTTAGTTGAGATTGTTCTTGTAATTGATGGCATGCTTAGTACTAACTTTCCGAAGAAGTTCGAGTTTCTCCTCTGAGGTTGAGAAGGCGATGACATCAGCACCAGCAGCGACGGCGATCTAATGATCGTAAGACTAAGTCAAAAGTATGTTACTATGTTGTATAGCACAACTTACCTGTATCCCAGCAACACTCACACCACCAGTACCCTGAATCACCACAGTGTCTCTCATTTTCAGTTGTTGAGGGCCTCCGAAAAACGCCTTTCAAGCGTATACATACGGACCGCTGAGAGCTGCAGCTTCCTCAAAGGACAGGTGAGAAGGCAGAGGAGCCAGTGCATCATCATCAAAGACAGCATATTACTGCAAAACTCTGTCAATGTTCTTTCCACCCAGACCAACTTTGAAATCAAAGGCAGCTTGAGTTTGGTCAGGTTTCCAAGACGAGTTGGTAGCGTTGATGACCTTGCCGCCCACTTTACATATCGATGTTGGCAAATTGACTTCGACGACAAATTGTTCAAATGTTGCTTTGTAGGTTTGACACACCTAGCACGATCAGGTGTCAAATTAGGATACCGCGACTTTGAGTCAATGTTACTTCGAACCTGTTTCATTCAATGATCTGGAGAGACTCAGAGGAAGTTTCACTGATTCGCATGTTGTTGCGGAATTTCAAGCTGCTTCGACAGACGAACGTGAAGCCGCAGGTAACACATATCAGATGCGCATGAACTTTGTTATGGCTAGCTCTATTTCAGTACCGGGATGTTGCTACTTTCTCTTTCAAATCTTGGGAAGATGTCCGATGATGATGTGGTCTTCGCCTCAACGAACATTCAGATACGGCAACAATAGCTAGATAGTAGGCTACGACTTTCAATACAAGCAAAAGACTTAGGTCAGTCCTCTGATGTTCTTCTAGTACTATTTCTTCCGATCCAGCAACATGCAACCTTGGGAAATGATAGTCTCGTAGCTAAGAACAGCAATGCGCTTACTATGATAAACATATCTCGATTCCTGTGGAACCGGTGACGTCTGCGCCTCCGCCCCTTTAACTTAATGGGCACGAATAAAATTCATACAACTACATATCGCATACGCACACTATTTGAGCATCTACTTAATGCTGTTGCATCTACTTAATGCTGTTAAAAACTGTTAATCAGTGTATTCTGTGACCTCGAGATGATCCTGTGCGATCAGGCTGCAGCTGAACGAAACAAAAGTAATTCGTTGGGATCTGTAGGTTCTTGATCTATGACCTGCATTTCGCCTACGGACATAAGTCCATCTTGGGCGATTGCCGCTGCGGCTGACCTCGTGTCGCAGCGCCTTGACCAGGAATATTGCTTCTCAACTACAATCCCCTGCGCGCCTGCACCACACATGCAGACAGATAAGTCGCTCAGAGGAATTTTCTGAGGGCATGCAAGGCAGAGTCCCATTTTGTTCTTTCCCTCTTGTCGAGTTTACTTGGACAAACCTGGGTCCGTTGTAGTCGACACTTGCATCGTCAAGGACTAAGGTACTTATTGATGAATTCTGGCAACGATTCATCGGGATGCTTTTACTCGAACGCTTACCTTTTACGTGTCGTGCCATTACTTTTGTTACTTACGTTCTACTGGACTCAAAAGTGATCCCCTTGCCTTGTTCCAACGCCGGTCATCGTCAATATGCAGCCACCGATACGCTCACTCGACTAATTCGGTTGGAAGCTGAGCAGGTGAACAGCTCCTTGATTGGTCCATGCTGTAGGCGACCGACCTCCATGTCTTCGATCTGACCACCCCATTGACCAATGTGGATAAGTAACTGGAATGGCTGCGACGCAGGCGCGAGCCTCGTTTTGGCCCCCATCTTCGTTGAGCCCTTTAAACCACAGTGCTCGCCTTGGCCAGGAAGCGGGGAGTCATCGAAAAATTGGCTGCTTGGCTACCATAAACCACCTTCATCCCAAGAAAACCTTGTCTTTTGTCTCGATCCGTTCTACAACTTGTCTTTCACTACCTTGAAGAGCTACCATGGGAGATCATGGCAGCTCTCCAACATGCCTATCAGCAGAGCCTCATGGCCCAGCTGAAGGGAGCCACGGAACCATTCGAGACCACGCTGCTCACTATTTTGGTTGCATCGAGATCGCTGATCGAGTCAACTATCTGAGCCGAGAGAAAAACTCGGATCTCTGGGATCACGAGATTCAAATCGAGGCTGAGAGGCTGCAGCAACGAAAGCCTACCATCAGTGAGGACGAACGGCTAAAGACTGCGAAAGAAAAGGTTGAAGCTAGAATCAAGAGTCTCGCTGTGAGCATTGAAGCGCAATACAAGCGAACGGACATCCTTCGGAAAGCACTCTCGGAGGTGAGATGTCCCCAATGCAAAGATGAACCTCCAAACAAGGACGTAGAGGACCCGGCGAATCAACACCCTCAGTGCGACCTGGTTCATCTTGTATCTCACAGTCACGAGGAATGGAAGAATTCGGACAGTTACAAGAAGGGTATCAAGATCATCCAAGACTGGAAACGACACAAAACATCATCGGCACAGAGTAGCGATGTTGAGGACGAGCATGTCACAAATAGTCCGAGTTTATTAAGCAATGGCCAGCTCAGATTGGCACCTGAGAGGGAAGAGGCTCGCAAGATCATCCGGGACGGTCATACCGATGTCGATTATGCCTTTGAAGAAGATGAAGACACACCCTCGTACGAGCTGGAACGAGATATGAACGGGTACCTCATCCAGTGGAAGATTTTGAAACCTGGAGAGTCACTCAAAAAGCTCGACTCGCACACGCCAATCAACATCTCCCCAACGTCGGTCAATTTCACCCCTCCCTCACAGCTCCCATCTCTTCCTCCTTCTCCTCGGCGAGCTCCTCGACCTCGGGCAGCTAGAGCGCCGAGTGAAGCTACAGTTCAATTCGAAGCTACAGACCACAAGCCAAAGGAACGTCCGACCGGGCCCAGTCGCTTGCGCTCTGGGACACTGCAATCCGCCTCCTATCTCGAGCCTTACACAGAACAGGAGAGATATCTGGAGCCGTTGACCGAGAACCTCACCGATTACCGTTTCAAAGGGAAGTTTCCTGATCAGAGACTGACGTTGCAAAACCTTCTCGACCCAGCACCGGAAAGGCCAGAGCCTCAGGACGTAATCCTATCTCGAGATCGACCAAACAAGGATGGAAGAGTGCGGTACTTCCATATACCGCATAACAACATGCAGGTGAGAGAAATCATCGCGTTCAAACGAAAGTTCCATTCTAATGTGATTTGATAGTGGCTTGAGGTATTTCGCGATCTAAGCTCCCCATTTAGCTCACTGGGCTCATCCCGTTGCAGGAAGCCATCGCACGTTACTTCAACGAGGAGTGTCCACTGTCCGACGGAATTTACCGAAACCCGTTGAAAACGCACAGCCGTATGATCTTACGTCCTGAATATTGGAGAGGTCAACAGCATGGTGGCAGGCGCACATTGGTACATGCTAGACATATGCGTGCTATTTGCGAGCGTATCTCGTCGAGTAAGCCACTTGATTTCGCGATCTAAGATTGTCTCATCTCTTTAAAAAGGTTTAAGACTTATACTGATGGTTTGAAATAGGGATCTGGGAGGTGGAAGACAACCCTGATAACCTTGTGCTATTTGTGAGTTGCGTGCTTGCGAAGTCGAGAAATGTTCAATGCAGCATCTGTTTTCTGAAGTTCCGAACTAATCGACGTCACATTCTGATAGATGCCCTACTTACACTGGGAGGAAGATCGTAAGCGTGACAAGATGGCTAAAATAATTGACAAGGAGTCAGACAGAAATCGAGAAGAACATGAGACGCAGCGCAATAAAGCCCGGGAACAGAGAGTGAGGGAACGTACTTACAAGCCAACCACTACCAACGACAAGCAAGTACGAAACTTGCTCGAGCCCGATCTTTGCCGTATCAGGCACCACGATAAAGTTTCTCCAATACATAAGAGAAGCATCCTCAAAGCTTGGGAGAAGAATGCACGCGGAAAACCCAACGTCAAGCACGAAATGGTCGACGTTGCTAGTGGATTAGCAACGGGCGGGCTTGTTGAACATGAATACGGCAGTGATGGCCACAACCTATGGTCTGTTCCCAAGCTGAAGTGCTCCGACCATGGGAGGTTGCAGATTGAGAACAAGCTAGGTCAATTTCTTTTGGACTCCGCTAGACTGTATGAGGCAATGTCCATGTATAGAGATCAATGCCTGGTTGAGAAGTACCTTCACCACGATCCACCTCTACATCCTCGGCGCACCCTCGACCAGTCTTACTACTGGACTCTGAAGACAACAAAAGCGAGAGACAGAGACCAAGTTGTTTATCGCGGTACAACCATGGATGAGAGGAACATCCATAGATTTCGAGAACGCCGTGAAGATCCTGCACAGTCTTGTAAAGACAAGAAATCGTTTTGGCGCTCCGATGCTCCCTCAACCGCCGAGCAGAGCACTAACTGTGATGTTCCGGACTCATCTGAAAGCAACTTTGGCCGTTACAAATGGGATGGTCACTGGACGAAGACCGACGAGGACGGCTGCGATCACTGCAAGGACGAGATACGCAAGGTGTCCAGGATCGTCATGGTCGACCAGCTGTGGATGTGGATCTTGGACAAGCGAACGATCATCACCAGTTTCCCGAAAAGATATGGCGCAAACAAGTCAGATCCCTCGGGGGTACACAAGTCGATACGCACCCGTATCAAGCACGCTCGCAAGAACCAGATTCGATCTGTCTTTGATGTGGCACTCATCATTCTCGATGAGTGCTCGAACACGTTCTTCGACAGAACCAAAACACCAGTGAGTACTGCAATGACCTCTTGTACTTCTTGCAGAGTCCGCTAAAAATTGCTTAGGATCGACACCCGCAGGTCATGGACATATTCGCAGAGTCCATCGGCACTCTGGTAGGCTTACTTACTGGCTGCAACCACGTCAACTAACTAGTCCATAGCAAAACAAACAAACAGTCTCTTTCCAGCATTTATGGCACTGGACTGAGCAAGCCTCCAAGGTTTACCACTCCAAGTCAGCCTTTGAGGACACATCCCATCTCCACGTTCCGCTTCTCAACATCAACCCTGAGGGCAAGCTGCAGCGAGAAATAAAAGACATTATCGATGAACTAGACATCATGATACATGTCAATGGGAAACAAAGGGAAGTCATCAAGCGGTTCGTGAAGCAC